CAACAGTAGTGTAAATAAAGTAAATTTTTACCTAAGTAACAGCGTCTACGAAGGATGGGCCGACAGAGATAAATACAAACTACAAAAGGGAGACCACGAAGAAAAAAAAAAAAAAAAGGTTAGAGAAACACTGTAAGAGGCAAAACCCGCTTATTTTTGGTCAAGAACAAGTTGCTTTGTCTAAGAAAAGGCTTTTGCAGTTCGCGTTATGAAAAACAGCGTGCTCGCATGTAAGAAATATTTGTGCCACGTTGAATTAAATTTATTGATTCGGAGAACAGTTCTGTGTTACATAAATCTTTGCGCTTTTTTGCTGCTCATTCATTTCAGTGGATGAACTTATCTAATGTTTTCCATGTTTCATATTAACTTTGTCACGTTCAATAATAATACAAAACCACTGTTGAAAACAATATTATTAAAGCAGTGTTCAATATTTTATACCAGTATATACTAACCTATGCCGTATTGTTTTCATGTCTGCAAGTCAGTCTCAATTACGTACTTAATGAGATTATTTGTTCGTTTGATCGTTTTTTCTTCTTCATTTAATGATAAACAAAGTAAACTCAAATAATGCCATCGTTCCCCAGCATATATTGTACTATTTCATCATTGTATATATATCTTCCTATTTGGTCTTTTCTGTTGCACAGAATCACGAAATGGACTACATCTCAACCTAAGAACGCGAATTTACAAAACTTGTTTATTTGTTCTACCCACCATGAATGTCAAAACCAGATTTTTAGAGTTATAAGCCCTCACATTGACTGAGCTGAGCTACTGGGGGACTTACAAAGCTTTGAGTAGATCAACATGCTTTCAAATGTTTAGAAAAATTCTGACATGAGCACTTAAAAATTAAATATTTCAGGGATCTTCAGTTGCAGGTTATTTTTTAATTGTGTTTTAAGAAATACAATATACTTCATGCCACAGGTATATAAAATGAACATGAGAGAGGAAAGTTGACAACGTTCTACACTGCTGCCAACGCGTTCTTAATTCTTACAATTTTATTTTTCGGTGCGTAAAGTTGTGCTTTTGAAGGTATTAAGCATGACATCGAACCACCACTTTACTGGAGTGTGACTGTAATAAAACCGTGGACTTCGTTTAATCTCGTATAGCGACCTACCATGCCAACATTGTTTGCTCCAATTCTTTATCCTTGAAGAAAATACTGAATATAGTGCAGCATTAACAGTCCTTATATAGATCATTACTAGCGTGAAAGGAAACGTATGTTTTAATTAAAAATCAAAATAATAATAACGGAAATTCCACTAATTCATTATATTGTCCTGTTTTAAACCTTTTAAGTTCACCTTGGATTTATACTGCCAACAAAACTAATTTAAAAAAATCTGAAAAAATAAAATGTTGAAATAATAATCTTAAAACAGTCCTAAACTAATGAAACAACATTTATTTAGAGAACTACACACAATCTTAAAACAGTCCTAAACTAATGAAACATTTATTTAAAAACTACACACAATCTTAAAACAGTCCTAAACTAATGAAACAACATTTATTTAGAGAACTACACACAATCTTAAAACAGTCCTAAACTAATGAAACATTTATTTAAAAACTACACACAACTTTACATTATCAGCACAATCACTTTTTTTGTTTACAAGGGAGAAACTATTTTCTACATATATTTTATTGAAAGTGATGTAATTTAATGACACATCTTTGCATAAAAGTGCATTATATATGAAGAATATTTGCAGTGAGTTTATTTTGTCATAATTTTAACTGGTTTAATTAACTGTTCTCTGCTATGGAAGCTTGTATAATTTATTCAAAGCTTTTAGCATTTCGCTATTATATTATATGATTTAAAAATAATATTGCTACTACTTCTTAACAGCTACCCGTATGAAAATATTATAGTGTTTTAATATCAATTACTAAATATTTGTCTGGTAGTTACAGTACTGTTTGTCTGTCATCTAAAATGAGCTACTGCGTAACATAATGGTGTATAGAAATAAAAATAAAAAAGACACACAAACACCATTCACATAGATTTTATACAAGTATCTGCTGAATAACGTAAAGAGCCCCCCAGTGGCACAGCGGTATGTCTGCGGACTTACAACGCTAGAATCCGGGTTTCGATACCCGTGGTGGGCAGAGCACAGATAGCCCATTGTGTAGCTTTATGCTTAATTACAAACAAACAATAATGTAGAGTCTATTAAAACATACATGAGTGCGAAATAAATTACATATTCAGTCTGTGAAATGTAGGTTATGAACTAAAGTTTACATTCTGTTTGAAATAGTGTTTTGATGGAGGTACACGCCTTTAATACAGTTTAGATTCTAGCTTTACACATCTCTGAGGTAAAAGGGGGAGGCGGAAAGGAAACGATATATTTAATAGGGACCAGAAGTAGGAAAGGTAACAGTTTGTCACCCGAACTTATGTATTAAAACCCTGAACTGTTTTAAATTACTGTAGAAAAAAAAAGAGAGAAATAAAAAAGCTGTAATATAATCTTTCCAAGCATAAAGTGTGATGTTTTTCTTAAGTTACCTCGTCACCCGTAACAACAGAGACATAGTTTATGTTTTTATTTCAAGGTTGTTGATATAGCAAAACTTCTGTGCAACCGTGCGTAACGAGCCACTACAGTAGTTTTGTAGCATGTTAATTTACACAATTATTGAAAGCGAAACCTATATTTATACATCTACGTAGAGAAATTTCCCACTAGTAAAAATCAGTTATCATCATTTCAGCTAGTTATGTATCACCGACACAGAGAGAGAAAAACGTGCCATATCAAAATAAATATAAATTAGCCTTAAAATATATTATAATAGTATTATTTTTGTCTATCCTGAAAATGCGTGCGCACCTTACTATCTCAATGCGCATGCGCGCGCACATATTAAACGGATGTAAGAAAAGGCAGATGTAAACATACTGTTACGACAGCGGTAGTCACGTGACGCTGGTAACACGTCATGATATTCTAGAAGATTCACGAAAAAACGAGATGTACGCTTCTTGTATATATAAGCCGCCAAGTAGTCACGGCAAGAAGATGATGTAATGCGTAACTGACAGTTGATTCGAGCACGTGAGACGTTCGTTGTGAATTATAGCGTTTGTTATAACGCGACTGTGGATATTAAGTGTAGTGCAAAGTTGTATTTAGAAAGAATAAACTAGTTTTATTTAAGAAAGGACTTGTATCGCTAAAGTTTCTCCGGAAATAAATCATATGGAAAATTAACTAACGACCAGAGATATAACAATACTTTAGTAAACATTTCGTACAACAACATATTAAAAGCTTATCAAAGTTTTTAAAAAGGTCTAATGTTAGGTCACAGATTAACATTATAGGTTTTATATATTAATAGTATTAAGTACGGTAAAGTTTAGCCCTAACTAAATTGAAGCAAGAAACTTACACAAGTTACAGTGTTAATTTATCTCTTTATCGAATATAGGCCGTACTTAATAAATGTTAGGCCCAAAACAAGTGAACTTATCGATATTGGTTTTTGCGATTACAATTCTTTTGTGTTATTCTAGAAATCCTGTATCCTGTAGTTAATGAAGTAATGTCATATAAGATGCTAATTTGACCGCGGGTCTTTGGTAGTGAATAAATAATAATAAACTCGTTTAAAACAGTTTACGTGAAATGAACTCTGGTTTCATATATCAAACTCGTTATTTATTTAAAAATAAAAACAACAACACTAGGATTCGGCTTTGTTATACCGAATACTACCTTTGTGAGATTTGCTTTAATGGATTAAAGTACTCCATGACTATTGATTAATTTTTGCTGGTGTTTAAAAATTAAACTTTAAAAAATATA